GGAATGCCTGATGTCGAGTTGGGAATAAACGACATGTGGCGTCAGGGAAAAGAAGTGGTGGGCAGACATGATATAATTCCAGTGGTAACTGAAGAATGGATACGTCTCGAAAATGTTGAATTTCACTCTTGCGTTCAGCAAGACGAATACGAGAAATCCAGAATCATAAAGTACGATTTTTAAGATTCTTTTAAAGAAAGTTTATTAACTATCTATAACATTCAGTTTTCAAACCATAATAATGGTGACCGTAACGGTGCTAACAAAAAACTAATTGCAATTAACACCCTACTAACACTTTTGAAGGTTCAAGCCACCGGATGCATGCTATATTGAACTAATGAGATTCCGAGTAAGGCCTCCTAAAAACAGAGAGCTTCCCCTTCAGCTTAAAGCTGTAATGTGCATTACCGGTAACAAGGTAATGTCATTTTTAATCCAGAAACAACATACATGTACCAACTGTGCATGCACCTAATACCTCAGTGATATATCTCGACATTGACGAATCGATACTCGTCTCTGCTTTGATATTTTTACGCTTCGGATGTAACACCCACACACTTCAACCGAGCTTTTTATTATTAATAGGTAGAACTGAGGGCGGACGTTCTTGTGCCGGGATTTGCTTCGCGGAAACTGGGACAAGTACCCTGCGAGGATGTGATGGTCCGTTTTCCCATCCCAGAGTGCTGGATTTATCTGTTCAGAGTAGAAAAACACTTCAGATATGGGTCCGTAAAGTCAGCTCACAGAAGAACGGGAAAGATCAAAGGTATCGAAAGATTCCTTGGTGCAGTTGACAACTTGGAGCCTCAGCTGATGGAAGTCACGTCAGGTCTGGCAAAGTACGAGCATCAACATCGTGCTATTGTTTGGAGAATGTCCAGGTTACCGAAAGAAGGACAAGGTATCCTGCCTTTGGTGCTTAATTTGTTCTAAGAATTATCTTTTAACATAGAATATTATCGACAATATCGTTCTCAGGCGCATACACAACGCACCAATTGATTTGTCGAATGGCTCTAACTTCCTATGACCAAATTCCTGAGAATCTAGCTGAATACTGTTACGTGGAATTTACAATGCCAACGACCCAGGTGTCACACACTACTGCAAGAAGTGTTAGCTTTCAGAATAACGATAGTGATACTCCACCAGAGAAATATGTCAGAAATTTGTCGCGACACGAATACAGGTAGGATCATTCGATAATACTGAACGTTATTTGTAAAACGGCAGAGACGATACAATTTATTCGTTAATCAGGGTTGGAATTGAGCATACGCAAGGTGAAGGCCCTGGGGCGTACGTATCAGCAACGTTCACGAGAAAAATTCCGGAAACAACGCCGGAAACTCAAGGCGAAGCATCGGACGCTGGCGCGGAATCTGATTCGGATTCCTCCGATTAATTTCCAGTCAGTAAATAAGGTAACGGTTAACACGTACGAAACTTAAGGAGAAATACTTGTTAATGCTAAGGTGTATACTGAAAACAAAACGATGCCTGTGACTGGACGCATGGCGTTTCACGAATCGCGGTTTGAAATGGATAGACATTATCCACACGAATAAACGCAACACGTAATGGAAATAATCGCGTGAAGGTAGAAAACAAAGGTATATAAATCCCAGTAGTTTCGAACGCACATCAGTATTAAACGATCAGAATAATCGTTCGTGTGGATTCAGCTTTAGATTCAACCACTGCGATCCGTGAAACGCCAGCGTCACCGCGTGTTCATGTAACGCATAACAGTTAACGAGATGTACGTATGAAGGGAGTAATTTCTAAGGGAGGACAATACCGATTTTACGTTCAGTTTAGCTTGCTAAGTAGTAATACGCATTCGCAGTGAAAGGCTTTGCTCTGCTCAAGTTGCGCGTTTCAAAGACGGATCAACGATTTTAGCTATTCAAAAATTGGGTAAACAATTTCTTTCATTCTTTTAATTCAACCGTATTTATATTTGTAAACGTTCGTTTAATTTATATTAATTTCGATTATTCTGATTCCAGTGGTCAATACATTTCGGATATTTCATTTGTTTAATGATTCTGTCGTATCAACACGACGATCAGAGGACAATAGTTGTTAATTAAGGAAATCGTTATAATTCGAAGGAACGTGCAGCGCATATCTTATCGTTTGAGCTTGCAGATGATCTATATCGAATGTTATCTAGTCGTTTTTGAAAAGTAGTTTATTCAGATTAATCATCGGTTACTAGACACGTAAGTAAATATTAATGAAACAGGTATCGACAATTTTACCATACAAAAAGCGGATATATTATTTGTATAATATTAACGCAAGCATGGGAGACTGCAGTTAATCTAGTCTTTAATAACTTTTTGTTCTTGTACGCGATGTAAGGTGCAAGAATATGTTCAAACGCTTTGCAAATCGATATAGCTAAGTCGTAGCCATAAGTTTTCGTTTCACGTTCTATTTTTTCTTTTTTTTTTCAAAAATTTGACCGTTGGCGTTAACGGTTGGAAAGTCGAAATATTTTGTGTAAAGTCTAAGTAAAAAAAAAGTCTATTTATCTATAGGTAAGATGACAGATGCGCGATCATATTAATAATTCTACGTAAGGAAAACAAAGATCTAGTTACATAAGTTTCCGTTGTGATTTTTTCGAATTTTCGTTGGAAATTTTTCATCCTGCAAAGGAGATCCGAAGAGTCTATTCTAGTCCTTAGCTTGTAAGAAGATCGTATGATGTTGTCAGGTGTCGATACACCGGTCATACGTTATGCTAAGTGTATTTAGGTTAGCATTTAATCGATAGTTCTAATCGATTTAATGACGTGTAGAAAAATATTTGCCAACATGCTAAGCAATGTATAGACAATTAGTATGTATTATTAATTAATACTGTCGGTTATAGATTGTCGCTCTGATCCGTGTCAATGCGAATGCATCTTCGTTAAACTTCTTCCAGTATTTCAATAAAGCATGTCAGACAATACTGCTTAATTATGCCAGCAAATACTTCCCATAAAAGAAAAACATTAATATACTAATTCAGAAGACTGCATAACATGAACATTAGATTCCGATCTTTGAAACAGTGCAAAGCTTTTCCATCTGCGGTGTGACGGTCTGTTTGCGTTGATACATTAAATGGATCTCGAGAGGATTTTTTTCGCGAAAAATTCGACTCGGGACATGACGTTTCCAGCACATGATCTCAACTGCGTGTAATATTGCACTGTCGTACGATATCTAAGACGGCGTTTGTGTATCTAAAGGGAAAGGTTCATTTAAACACACAATGCATGTATAGAAATCTTAGGAAAGGTATTTAAATTAGAGGTTATGTATGATATTGACAAGCCTATCAATGTTCGACAAGTGTGACTGAGGATGAACGAATGGACAATAGTAAGGGAAAGCATTAAATTTGTCGTCCCTGTGAGGAGGTCGTAATGAAATTGAATTTTTGGATAGAGCAAGAAATCATTTTATTTTTTTCATATTTATTGATATATAGTTTAAAGAAAATCATCCTGTAATGTATTAGATTGTTACAAGAAGAATATCAAATTCCATATTTTGTTCTGTATCATTAAAAGAACCACTCGATGAAAATGATTCATAAATCCTAATTATGAGAAATACATGTCAGAAAGTACTTTAGTTTACTCTGTGGCAATAATTATCCGTCACATGCGTATTAAAAAATCATTCCCGTTACTGATGTTAATCGGTATTATAATTACGAAATTAATGTCTAACATTTTTAAATGTTTACCTGTATAATTGTGATCGAAAATTTTCTTTCAAAGCTACTGGAGCTAAAAGGCGTCGGTAAGGTAGATTTTAATTGAACTAGTACGACCTCCATTTGTTGTTGCTCCAAGAAATGTCACCATCCCAACCCAGAATGTATTCGTTTACATGCATATAATTATTAAACTATGTAGATTTTAGATATAATCCTGTTATCTCGGATCTGTAATGATTAATTGTAAAGGAAAAATTAGTAGCGTCATTGTTGTTCTTACAATTATTATTAGACGAAAAAAAATGAAACAAAATGTTCTGTACAGGTGAAGAGAGTCTGTAAAGATACAGTTAATTGAATCGTGCTAAGATCGACACTTAATAGAATTTAGGAAAAACGTCCGTTGTAATATGAAACGAACAATGAAGAAACTAAAACCCCTTAAATACGCATTTTTGCCTTCCTGCGCCATTTATGGGCACCATGATAAGTCGGTTGATAATTTCGTCCATCGAGCTTTATACCGAACGTTGAAAGGTAAATCTGTTAAAAAAAAAAAAAAAAAATACTAAGAACCAAAATCTTTTTATTACAGTTAACGTGTTAAAGATTGTTGTTCGACGTATTTATTACTTACTTTGTGTCGTTTTTTCCAAATGATTAGCCGACAAAATTTTGGTATTTCACCCTCTTTACTAAGTGCAATAACATGCAATATATCAACGAAAAATGGAGATGAAAACAACGTCGACAGTTCGCAAAAGACGATATATGTAGCATTTTAAATATCTGAAAAAGCGAAGGCATGACTATTTTAGTTTAACATTGGTGTTTATGTATACAACTTGATTAATATTACAGAGATTCCGTTAACGCTTATTGTTAGTGTTGTATGTACGAATTTTAATCTCGAAGAACACGTGAAATGGATAGGTTAAAGTATTTCGTTCCGATCGTTATGAATGGTTTAACTATATCTGATGGCATCGAGTCTTGAAGTATAGCAAGAAATAGATGATCGAGAGTGACAAACATTCCCTAAACAATTGAAATAATCTCCGAACTGTAATTTATAAATATATAA